ATTATTATTATTATCATTATCATTATTATTATCATTATTATTGTTATTATTATTATTATTATTATTATTATTATTTATTATTATTATTATTATCATTTATTATATTATTATTATCATTATCATTATTATATATTACTATCATCATCATTACTATTTCATATAATCAAAAATATTTTTATTATTACTATTATTATTATCATTTTTATTATCAATAATAGCATTGTCATCTCAATCATTTTATTACTGTAGTTATCGTTATCATTATTACCATTAACATTATTTTCATTACTATCATAACCCTCATTTTCGTTATCTTTATCATTATTGTAATTATTATTATCAATGTTGTTACAATTATCATTATTATAATTATCGTTTTTATTATCATCATTATCATTATTATTATTACAGTTATTATCATTATTATTATTACAGTTATTATCATCATTACTGTTGTTAATACCATTATTGCACTGCTCATCATTACAATCATGGATGTTGATATCATAATTATAACTATTATTTTCATCATTTTATGTTTATTATTTTCACCATTATCATTACCATTAGAAGTCATACCAATTATCATTATTATTGTTATCATCCTCATCCTCATCACTGTCTTCATCTGTGACATTCATCATGAATAATAATGATACATACGCTGGACAGAACTGAACACAAAAAAATAATGAGATGAACAATGAATATCTCATATATATATATGAAATATTATTTTCTATATTTCTTTCCTCTTATTTCTTCTTACTTTTTAAAGCACTAATGATATTTTTTATCAACAAAATCACCTTGTTATCCACGTATTTTTTCCTTTGGGTACAAAACCTCTTCATAAAATCAAACTGAATATTTCATGATTAAAAAATCTTATTCTTCATTTTCATTATAGCATTTTTATATAAATGTTTTGTGTATTATCTGTGTGTGTGTGTGTTTGTCTGTGAGTGTGTGTTTGTGTGTGTATATATATATATATGTGTGTGTGTGTGTGTGTGTGTGTGTGTGTGTGTGTGTGTGTGTGTGTGTGTGTGTGTGTGTGTGTGTGTGGTGTGTGTGTGTGTGTGTCTGTGAAATATGAACAATAAGAATTGATTTCATTTTTATATATCTTCCAGGAAAAAAAAGTAATAATAGAAAGGGTCTAGTTCATTTAACTGTTCATTTTGAGAATAAGCTCTTTTAAAGATATATATGAATATTACAATTCGCATGATTTTATATTACTGTTCTGGATTAATAACCAAGCAATATATAAATCATCTTAAATGTCTATTAAATGTACAATACATAGCGAATTCGGATGAATAGCCGAATCGGAAATAAGATTCAAAGTATAATTAGTTAAGAAATTATTAGACGTATCGTTCTCAGCATGTTTTATACGTTAGAATGTGTGTATGTGATTGTGTGCATCGTATCATAATGTCATATTTATTGTTATTTTCATGTTATTATTAGTATTAGTTAGAGTGCCAAAAATAACAGTAAGAGTATAGATGGTATTGGCTTTAATCATATTTTTGATTTCAACGTTTTCATTAAAATTGCTATCATCATCATCATCATCATTATTGTAATTATCATTATCATTGCTATTTTACTCTTATCGGTAATATCAATTTCAGCATCATCATTATTATCATTATTTTCATCATCATCATTATTATTATTTTCATCATCATCATTATTATCATTATTTTCATCATCATCATTATTATCATTATTTTCATCATCCTCATTATTAATATTTTTACCATCATCATTGTTACTATTTTCATTTTATCTTATCACATTTACATTATTATATTATAAACTATTTCGAGCATTATTGTCAGCACTCACTGCCAGGCTCATTCACAATATCCATTCTGAATGAGGCTGAGGTTCACCGCCTCATCTATGCAAATTTCATCAGTTATCAAGAGGCTACGTAAAGTTTCATTACGAAGAGCCCAGGTAAGTTCACAACAGGAGGCCAAAGGGTTATCTGCAAGAGGAGAAGGAAAGGTGTGAGTTGGTGCATGTTCAGTGGTATTATGGGGTCTAGTTCCTAAGGAAAGGGGGGGGGGGGTGAGGGTAGGGAGGTTTTGAAAGAGGAGGTGGACGGGTTTTTAGTGCATAGGAAGGGGTGTGAGTTCTACTGTGAGATTCTATTAATGATTTTGGTTGATTTTAGTAAAGGCTGCTGTTCGGATGCGTTATAGTGAAGGGGGTTAGTGGGGCTTTAGTAAAGGGGTAGGAGGGGTGGGCTGTGAGGATGGGTGGGGTTTATTAACTTTATTAGGCGAAGGATGGGGGAGAGGAGGGAATTTTGGCGAAAGGGGTGGGTGGGGGGAAAGAAATTCAAGCAAAGTAGTGTGTATTCTAGCCACAGGAGGGAGAAGGGCGTATGTGTTAAGGAAGACAGGAGAGGGAAGGTCTGATAAAGGAAGATGCACAAGGGGAGGATAGAAGGACCAAAGCAAAAGAGAGGGTGGTATCCTTAGCAAGGGAAGGGTGGGTTCTCGTGCAAAGAGTGGAATGGTGGGGGCGGGGGTATCTAACCAGTTAAAGGGATAGGCACTCTAACGAAGGAGGGTGAAGGGGATGTCCGATAGAGAGAGTGGAAGTCCTAACAAGAGGCCGTATAGGTATCCCTAGTAAACAGATGAAAGGGGGAGGAGTTGAGAGGCGTGTCTCCAATGACGTAGGGGGCGGGGTAAGGAGTCTCCTGACAAAGGGGCAGGTCTCGTTAACAGACAAGGTTGTTTAAGTTAGGTATCTTGCGCTTAGATGTTGGACGAACAACAATTGAACATAAGCAAAAAAACTTTACCGGTGAAATGAAAATTAATATCAAAGCGCCTTACTCAACCGGATATGATCATTAGTCAATAGAGCGATTGGCTAAGGCTTCCCGAGCTCATTTGTATCATCATGTCAACAATGCTGCTAATTTCTATTTCATTATACGTGATCACAGGCTTACCTGGAAATTCGGTCTGCTGTTCAGCCATCACGTTGCTACGGGTACTCTGACAATTACCTAGACGAATATTCACAGGATTAACGCATCTCTCTCTCTCCATACACATACACACACATTTGATGATGTCTCTCTCTCTCTCTCTCTCTCTCTCTCTCTCTCTCTCTCTCTCTCTCTCTCTCTCTCTCTCTCTCTCTCTCTCTCTTATATATATATATATATATATATATATATATATATATATATTATATATATATATATATATATATATATATATATATATATATATATATATATATATATATATATATATATATATATATATATATACATATATATGTATATATATATATATATATATATATATATATATATATATATATATATATATATATATATATATATATATATATATATATATATATATATATATATATATATATATATATATATATATATATATATATATATATATATATATATATATATATATATACTCATGATCCACTCTTCATAATCCATGACCCATGACCTCATACTCACCTAACACCCAGACCTTGACTCCTCTCTCTAGCCAGGGTCGCCAGATCATCTCAGGCATTTCGGACAAGTTGTTGCTGTCGAGGAACACACCAGTCTCAGTTCCTAATCCTGTGTGGTTTGAATATCATTAACATCACTCTTAATTGCAATCTTAATTAGTGTCCATAAGATTATCGTTTTTATTTTCATCTGTGTAGGTTGACTAACATTGGGAGAAGCTATGTTGATAATGATGATGATGATTAAGAAGATGATGATGTGGATGTTGATGATAATGATGATAATGGGATGAGGAAGAAGATGACAGTGATAATGATAAGAATGATAACAATAATAATGATAATAATAATAATAATAATAATAATAATAATAATAATAATGATAATGATAATTATAATGATATGATAATAATAATGATAATAATAATAATAATGATAATAATAATAGCAATAATAACGATAACTATGATAAGGATAATAATTAAAAATTAATGATTATGATGGTACTAATAATACTGAAAATAATAAGGATAATGATGATGATAATAATAATAATAGTCATGATAATTAAATATATTAAATATATCCTTGATTATAATAATACTGTTATTAATATTAATAACCATTATAATAATAACAATAACAACAATAATAATGATGGTAATAATAAAAGTAATAATAACAATAATGATAATAATAATCATAATGATAATAATGGTAATAACAATCGTAATGATAAAATAACAATGATAACAGCAGTAATAATAATTATAATGATACTACTACTACTGATAATAATTATAATAATTATAATAATAATAATTGTAACAACAATGATAATAATAATAGTAAAACCTGTAATAGTATTGATAATAATAGTAATAGTGATTACTATTATCGCATATTATTATGATTGTTATCGTTATTATTATCACTATTATCATCACAAAAACAAATATACTACCACTGCTACTGCTATTCAACTACCCCACGTTAACGTTATTCCCTTTAATTCTAGTACTATAATCTAGCTGCTTTAGCCATCGCCTCTCACTTTAGTACTTTTACACCACCACTAGCTTTTGAAAACGAAAATAAGTGAGACATACCTCCCACTTGATTAATTATGTGTTGCCCTATCAGCACACAAACAGAGGATTGTAACGCTGATAATCTAGGGAAAAGTGTTGGCAACAGGAGATGAAATCCTGTGTCTGTGTAGCATGTAGGGCGCTGGTGTAGGTGAGGCGGGTTCTCCTGGAATAAGTGGGTGATATTGCATATTTCATGAACTATGACCTGCCTCTCTGTGCTACTTCGGGTGCTGAAAGAGGTGTGTGTGTGTGGTACAAGAAAGGGTTAAATATGTCTTTCTCAATTACTAAAACTCATTTTGTACACCTGCCTTATTAATCATGGTGTTCAAATATAATGTTACTGCTACTCCGGCTCCTAAAAGTGTTATTACTACTACTACTGCTGCTAGTAATAGTGGTGTAGTGGTGGTGGTAGTAGTAATAGTAGTTGTAGTAGTAATAGTAAGAATGATAGTAATAATAGTGACGATAATGTTGCTGATGATGATGATTATAATTTAAATGATAATGATAATGCACCTGCTGCTGATGGTGACATGGTACAAAAATAATATAGACATACTAATGAAACCAGTTACAAAAAAAGGAAAACAACAACAACAACAAAAAGAGAACGTACCACAACGGTCATACCACACTGAAATAAGCAACCAAAGCCATAGCCCAACAAGATATGCGAATTAGTACCTGATATACCGTCGACGCTTTTGATGGCGTTGTGACTCAAGCTGACGACTTTCAGGGCGGTGCTGACAAAGGCGAGAGAGTCAGCGCCGACGTGTGTCAGTTGGTTGCCGGCGAGGAACACGTAGGCGAGTGACTTGAGACTGGCGAACGTGCCTGGGCGGTCGGATTCGTAATTTTAATAACCAGATTATCCTAATTAATCCCGAACGGTAAGAGGGAGGGACATCTTTCGAGGCACTGAGATGGGGAGCTGCATGTGTATGTCTCTGATTCGTTGTCAGGCCCTATTTCTATTTTTATTTATTAATGTTTTGTAAGGCGTATTATGCACGTCGCGACAGAGGTTAGGTATTATACCTCGCTCGCTCTTTCTCTCTCTTTCGCTGTTTTAACACACAGACACATATATATGTGTGCGTGTATATATTATATATATATATATATATATAATATATATATATATATATATATATATATATATATATATATATATATATATGTGTGTGTGTGTGTGTGTGTGTGTGTGTGTGTGTGTGTGTGTGTGTGTGTGTGGTGTGTGTGTGTGTGTGTGTGTGTGTGTGTGTGTGTGGTGTGTGTGTGTGTTCAGTTGAGTGCCGGATGTTAATAATGTGGTTTTACCCAGAAATTGAAGGTTGTAATACTAGATAATTGAATTAAAAACAACATCAATCTATATGAATTCAGTTGTGATAACTTAGGTGGCTCCTTGCTCTCATCTTGCACAGGGAGAGAAAGGTTGGGGAAAATTTGTGGCAAGAACAATACGCCATGATAACGCCAGCAGATTTATTCTTTTATTATTTGTTATTTTATTATTCATTATTATTATTATTATTATTTACTTATCATTCTTTTTTATTCATATTTTTTCTTGTGGCCTGGAGACAGCATTCAAATTAGTCGAAAGAGACGATTCCGAGTGGGCCAAGGAATGAATTGCGAAAGGAACAATGGATCAAAGTATAGAACATAAAAGAAAAACTGTGAAAGAAGGGAAAGTACCGATCATTTGTTCGTCCAGGGTAGGAACGGAAAATACCAGGGAGTGGAGTTGGGTGCTTGGATCCCGTCTCACTTATGCTTTTATTCTATCTATTCTTTATGATTTATTATTCATTTATAATTATTAGAAAAGGGGGATTTAATTAAATTAACAGAAAATATTTATAGATATGTGTGAATATAATACATACATATTTTTTACACACACACACACACCACACACACACACACACACACACACACACACACACACACACACACACACATATATATATATATATATATATATATATATATATATATATATATATATATACATATATATATACATATACATACATACATACATACATACATACATATATATATATATATATATATATATATATATATATATATTATATATATATATATATATATATATATATATATATTACATGTGATTCCACGCTTCCTCCGTCAGTGATACGAAGTTCCTCATGTGACTTACCCGGCTGCAGCACAGTGAGGCCGGTATGGTCGAGGTCCAGCGACACGAGCGCCGGCAGATGCACGAAAGCCCACGAAGGAAGAGCCTTCAGAGGGTTGTGCGCCAGCGAGAGGACCTGCAACGTCGCGGACTTCATCGAGGGGAAGCCGGCGATGGAGTTATTCCCCAGCAACAGTTCAGTCAAAGCGGCAAAGTTCTGGAGGGAACCGAAGGGGAAACTCGTGATTCGGTTCGAGGTGAAGTCGAGAGAGAGCGCTGTGCTGAAGCCGCCGTTGAAGCCTCCTGCCTTCACGTCCTCGAGGATTCCTTCGCGAAAGACCAGCGCTCGGAAGGTGACGTTCTCGAAAACGTCTTCGGGCAAGGTCGTGAGTTCCAAGTTCCTCTCCACGCGGATGGCATTGAGTTCGGGATCGGGGAAGTCAGCACCAAAGATCGTATAAAGGTCTTCTTTATTTACGTCTTGGCAACTGATGTCGGCCCACAGGTCATCCTTTTCGAAGCAAATACACGGCCATATGTCTTTGCCTTCTGGACAGGGCGATACGTTCGAAACTACAGTATTATTAGCACTTGCTGGCGACTTTATCGTAATATCACAGGAAGCAACACCAATCAGCAGAGCGATTTTAGTGAAGAGGGAGCTCGACCACATCTCTGCGCAAAGTGAAGCTTGAGGCAAATCTAGTGATAAAATTGTGTGGTGAGATATATATAATATGCGATACTGACAGATGTCTAGTCTGTTCCACCGCGCGAATGCTTGTCATTGTCTTAAAAATGACTAAGTAATTCTTGAGAGTAATTTTGGAAAATAAGACAATGCTTTTTCTTTCTCGAAAAGTTATGTATTGATAAATTATCATGTTTTTAGATACGGACAGATAACATAGACAAATATTATGACAATAAAAATTATCTACTGTACTAATCCATTATGGGAAGAGCCTGTGCTATATCTTATCTGTTCATTCCTCTTATCTGTGTGTGAAATGAATATTCAAATGCAGCTTTTATGAATTTCTTATCAACTACGACCTGAGAAAGTTAGATTTCAAGACAATAATATTAACGGATAAGGTTCTAGTTGAGACATAGTATCACATAGCAGTAATAATGAAAATGGTAATGATACCCACATTCATAATGATTTTAATAAACGTATTATTGGTAAAGATGCATCTGTTCCAATATTCCAACTGACAGTACCAAGATATAATGTAACAGTACCTTGGTATGTCATATACGATAAGAAACATGATACGTAGAAGAAGGAAGTTTGTTATGACTTTGTAAAGGGATTCTACGGGGTTGAGGGGGGGGAGGATTCACCGTGGGTTAGGGGTTGGAGGGAGAGGGAAGGGGAAGTTGAGGGGTGGGGGGGGATTCTAAGGACTGTGGAGAGGGGGCAAAAGGATGGTGGGGAAAGAAGAGATTCTAGGAAGAAAAAGGGAAAGGAGAAGGATAGCTGGGAACGAGAAAGAAAAGAAAAGAAAAAAGATTCAGTAGAATAGAGTAACGTAGAATTATTCTGAGGGGAGGAGAAGGGAAGGAGAAAGAGAGAAGATAGAAAAGGAGGGGAAACTGAGAGAAGGGTAGCATTAAAGGATTAGTTGACACGTGACTCCGCTGAGCCTAAATAAATGAGTGCGTGACTGCGAACCAAGGCCGGGGAAGGGGGAGGGGTGGGGGTGGGGGGCGCAACGAGAATTCGAAAGGAATTTAAATTGAAAATCTAATTAACCTGGAGTGAGAAGCGCAGAAAAGGGAGAGGAGGGAAGGGTAGGGTGTGGGGGTGGGGTGGGAGAAGGGGGAAGGAAAGGGTTATGGGGAGGGGGTATAGGCAAGGGCTTCAGGGTAGATAGAATGAAGTAAGAGGATGGGACAAGGAGAGATGTGTGTGTGTGTGTGTATGTGTGTGTGTGTGTGTGTGTGTGGTGTGTGTGTGTGTGTTGTGTGTGTGTGTGAAAAGAGAGAGGGGGGGGGGAATAAAGAGAAAGATATGAAGGAGGGGAAGAAAATGAGAGACGGGTGATACATGAGAGGCATCTAAAGAGAGAGAGAGAGAGAAGGGGGAAGGGATGGAAATATAAAGAGAAAGATATGAGGGAAGGGAAAGAAAATGAGAGAAGGGTGAGACATGAGAGGAATCCAGAGAGAGAGAGAGAGAGAGAGAGAGAGAGAGAGAGAGAGAGAGAGAGAGAGAGAGAGAGAGAGAGAGAGAGAGAGACGGTAAGGGCAAGTACAAGAGAAAAAAGAGAAAGAGAAAAAAAAGCAAGATAGCAGAAAAAGAGATAAAAATATAAACATAAAAATTAAAAGAGAAAGAAAAAAAAAACGAAAAGACAGAAATAAAGAGAAGGAGAACGACTAAGAAAGACGAAATATCCCAAACACAAACACACTCCACACAGTCAGTACAAGACCAGGGAGAAGCAGACCCGTAACTTCAAGTAATTTGTCTAACTAGCCGGAATATATTACAAGTTTAAGAGAACTTGATCATAGCTCCGCCGTGATGCAAGTGCTCTCGTTGCAAGGAGGAAATTTAGCAGAGGTTATGTTAAGTCACATGAGAGTGGAAAGGAGGATTGTGAGGATCTTGTGATTATGCTGATGATAATGATGATTATGATGGCCTGTAATGATAATGGTGATGATGGTGGTAACGGTAATGGTTGTGAGAGTAAAATGATAATGATGATGATGGTAATAAGGATGAGTAATAATGATAATGATGATAATAATGATGATGATAACAGGTAATGATATTGATAACAATGATAATGATGATAATAGCAGTAAAGATATTGATAACAATGATAATAATAACAATAATAATAATAATGATAATAATAATAATAATGAATAAATAAATAAACAAATGATAGTGATCATGATGATTACAATACTGATAATAATACCAGTAATAATAAATTGAGAATAATAACAGTAATGATAAAAAAATAGGGATATTAATAAGAAGTAAAAAGGGAATAGAAAAAACAGACAGGTGTAGTGAAGAAAAATTAGAAAAGCTTTAAAGTAAGATTAAGAATAAATAGAAGAAGAACAAGGGGAAGTATATACGATAATAGAAATAATAATAGCTCGAAAACACAATTACATTATCAATTTCATCTAATCATCATCAATCTTTGTTCAAAATGACAAAGAA